ACAAAATGTCCAGCATTGATTGCATAAAAGTAAAAAAGAGCATCTAAAACATAGTATGACGCGTTTAACAATTATACTCGATTTAAATTTTAAGCTTCTTGTTAATTCAAGGTTGAAAGTAACGCCTACTTTCTACTACGCTTCTTAGTCTAAAATTCCTAACTTATTTCAAAGGCGTTTCACTTTTTTCCTCACTTTAATATTAATTTGCCATCTCTGATTGAGTTGATTGATTTTATTTTTTTGTTCTGGAAATGTTTCTAAAAATGAAAAATTGCTACTTAACTAATTGTATTTAAAACGTAACAGAAAAAAAAGCTTTAAGATATTTATACCTATCGAGTAATAGAGCTTTTACAAAATAAATTAAATATTGTGGAAAACTGGTGCTGCAAATGGCGAATTAAGTTGCACCCAGATTGAAAGATTATTGATAGTAAAATCAAAAATTATACAATTTCAAATATCCGTGGGTTTAATGCTAATATCCCACCAATTAAACAAGTTAAATACCTAGGTATTACCATATCCTATAATCTAAGCAGAAGTAAGCATATTGATGATATCATTAAAAGAGCTAGAGGAGCATTCTTTGTCCTCAATGATATCCTTAACAAAGACTCAAAATTAGATCTTTATAATAAGAGAACCATCCATCAGCAGGCGCTTAGACCTATCTTAACATACGCCTGCCCCGTGCTTAAAGCTCTTGGTAATCATCTAAAGAGAAAACTATCAAGTTTTGAAGATAAACTAATTCGCACGATGCTTGGGGCCCCACGGGCTATCAGTAATAATTCTCTCAAGCGAGACTTCAAAATTGAAGATATTAATTATTGCATGGCAAAGCTCAACATCAAATTTTATAACGAAGCCAAAGACTGCACAGCATCAAACCGTGATCACCTATTTAATAATAGAAATTATCAAAGACAGCGCTAGTTATAGCCCATTAACTGTCTTTCTTACTTCAGACTGTCTCATATCAAAGTTTTATGAATAGGGATCTATTATTAATTACTTGTTTTTTTATCACACAACGCACTCACAGACAGACACTCACAGCACAAACACCAGAACTGTGGCAAACCTGGTGAAGGAGCAACCCTCTAACAGGGCCCAATCCAGGCGAGCCACGGGTCTGTTTAAACTCAGAATAGTGAGCAACCCAACACGAGCGGTGCTACCGGGACGGCAGGGTCAATATTTTAAACGAGGTGCAGTTCAACTTATTTAATTTATATTTTATATATTATATTCCTGTAAATATTCGTTTCCTGTAAATACATGACATTAATTCACGATGTCAACTATTGTTACTTTTTATTATTGCCTTATTACTTACATTTATTTCTTAATTTTAATGAAGTGATTTTAAAAGTTGCCAGCTTATCTGCATTCACGGCTTATTATTATGGGCAAATTGTTCACCATTAAATGGAGATATTGTTCACTATTAAATGGAGATATTCTCCACTATTTTTCTTCTCAATAAATTACATTATCATATTATATACTTATCCAATTTATGACCTTTTCATTTTTATCTATTTATAATAAACTTATTTCTTTAATCATAAACTGCGACTTACATTTTAAACTATACATATTTGAAACAATACCATTTTTTATACTTATTAATCCCTAGGGTTCTGATCAGGGTTAAGTTAATCCCTGTAACTTAAGTGTGGAGAGCAACCCGGCGCGAGTGGTAATTACCGGGACGACCGGATCTCTACTTTAACAGAGCCAGACTTTCTTGTACACATACACATATCTTCACACGCACCTTTAACTCGTCCCCCTTGTTTATATTCTCAAACTGTAAATATTTGTTAGTTTTTTTTATTCTCATTGTATCTTAAATTTTATTACTTGTATCCACGTATATTTTCATTACTTGTATTCAAGTATATTTTCATTACTTGTATCCACGTATATTTTCATTACTCGTATTCACGTATATTTTCACCTACCTCTAATAATTTCCAATTTGATATTTCCTCATAATGGCAAAGAGTCATAAGCTCACTAACTCCATTTTGCGCCCTGAACTATATTTTTTGTCATGTATGTTTTTAGTTTATTTTAGGACGAATGGGAAAAGGATCGTAAGGCCTCAGATGCCCAGTTATCATATAAACGATGATGACTATTTTATACTTATTATCTATGTCAAAAGTACCAGTTGCCCTAGGGCAAAATTTCAGATTAAGAGGTTTGGTGCTAGATTGCGAGGGTAGGTACCTTATCAACCACAGAGCATCGTCGTTGTTGTTGTCGTGTCTATGCAAGTGCAAAGAGTAGAGTCCTCCAAAAGTCTTGATAACAAGGTTTGCAAGTTCTGGAGCCCGATGGCCATGGAGAATTTCGATGGGAGGTGCTCCAAGTTGAAAGAGGGAGCCGATAATGGCCTGGCAGTCAAAAACATGGTCTGGAGTTAGTTGCAAATGAGGACAGTACTTGCGGAAGGGATTGAATTTTATATGGGTGCGTGAGATCTTCATGACCTTGAAATGTCCAGTACGTAGCCCAGCTATTGTACAGGAGAGGTTTCTTGGGCAGTTCAGATCGGGGATTGTTGCCTTGCTAAAATGCTGGGCATCGTCATCGTCTTATAATTATATCAACTATATGGTCAGCTGACCATAATGTGTTACCTCACTTCTTAAAAAAAGTACATGATGGATGCGATAAGGGCCGGGTGGCCGGATTGTTACCGCAACTCAAATAGGACTCATGCTTACATTGTCAATAGTAAACAATTTTACAAAATTTACAAAAAAATGTTAGTAAAATTTGATAATTCAAACACAATATTGAATTTTATCAGTAACCACTCGTTGCGTTTTTAGCCGCCGGTGGAAACCTTCCTTTCAGCAACTATGAATCAAAGTACTAGACTTGCCTGTCAGATTTCGAAATTCCTTACACTCATTAACTTTACTTTTTCATGTGATCTCTATCATTTTTCTGAACCTTATACATAGCACAATAATGCCGAGATGGAGGATTTCGGTTACAGATGTTCAAGGTCCAAAGTAGCCTCCAGACTTGTCCACTCAAGTCTGTGGTATTGAGCTTGTGTGAACGGAAACAATTTTTTGAAGGGAAAAAAAGGGTTTTAAAAAATATACGTCCAAATTCGATCCTGTATAATTCTGAAATATTTCTTTTGGTGAAGTAAAAATTAACGAAATGTTTAAATTAATCCCAGATTAGTCGCTACATTTGAACACTTTTAAGCTGATTATAGAAACTGATGATTTTAAGATTTTGCATTTTTCACAACACTTTTCAGGGATTTGAGGGTGTTAGGCGATCAATCAGCCAGGCCGTCAGCAAGTATTGTGTCCTTCCTTTTCAAACCAGTGCCAACATACTTTAATAATCGCATGTTTTTTAAGCAACGCCCTATCTTCTATCCTATCTCATCCCAGAGATGCCAACTGCTCCGGACAAGCCAAAGTAATTAAAAAAACGGTAAATAACTACAAAGTAAATTTTGCAAATATTTGACTATTTTTGCTTGCGTTTTAAAAGGTATAGCATGACTTAAGTACTACAATGTGGTGAATTATATAAGCCTACGAATTATTTAGAAATAGTGGTAAATAAAAATCTACTAAATTGAGTTTATTGAACCAAGAATCACAATTTATAAACTACCACTTTAAAATATATATTTGCTGTCCATCTAAGTGTTCGTTCGTCCGTTGTAGTGGAACTGGGCGTCTGAGGCATTACGGCTCTGTTCCCATTCATCCTGAAATTAAACTAAGAAACATACTTGACAAAATTAAAATTTGGGGAGAAAATGGAGTTCTTGAGAAAAGAAAAATGACACTTTCCCATTATTAGGTAATAACAAAATTATAAGTAATAAAAATGTACATGAAATCCATCTAATAAAGTAAAATATTTTCTAGTAAATGAATTAAGTTATAAAATTTTACTGGTGTCGATCTACTCAACTGTAACAGAAGTTATGTATAACTCAATCTACTTTTAAGGCAGTTACTAATTTAGGACAAATTTTTCGACCTAAATGTAGCAATTAATCTGATATACAAAGAACAATTTGAAAAAGTACTAGACATGTCAAAATAATAATTAGTACGCTTTTATCGATTCAGATTTCGAACCATTGAAAAACATAATTTAAATTATAAACTCAATAAATTTCCAGTTTCAGTTGAAGAAAATCACTAAGCTTTATTATTAATCATAGAATGAGAAAGAATAAACAATATAAAAGTAAAATATCGCTCACAATACAATAGCCTTTATAAATATAAACAGAAATTTAATTATTACCCTGCATTGTAGGTAAATAAGAATTATTTATAAAAAATAATGAAATCTGCAAAAAAATACAAATTATAGCTCTTAGTACTGATCTATAGAGAAGTAGTGTTTCCCATGTCTATGTACAAAGATAAAAAGTTGCAGTTCATAAATATTAAAAAATAACCAAACAATCAAAACCACAAGCTTTAGCTGCCAACTTTTGCGCAAGGTTTTGTTCAGGGGTATCCTTGTTACTTGAATAAATTTACCCTCTAACAACTGGAGAATTTCCAAAGTTTTAGAAATCTTTCTCCAAAAGGTAGCAATGGTTATGTATCCACCACTGCATAAATTTTTTTAAACATGCGTATTTGAGCAATAAATCTTGACATTTATAATTTCAAATTTTTTTTTTAAAATCTACCACGATGAATCAGTAATTTAAAAAAAAAAATTCAAGTAGATAAGATCTATATGTTGACTAACTATGCTTATAGATGTCTCAATAGTTTTGTTTTTAAATTTCTTTTTTATACGTAATTGTTGTTTTTCTAACACTAAGTAAAATCTTTTTCAGCTATGGATACGGTAACGCAAAATTTTTACGAAGTGATAGCAAAACAACAATTAAGGTTTGAAATATTTTCTAAGAATTAAACTACTTAAACATTCTTCAAACACAATAT